TTTCAAAAAAGGCTAAATTTTCATTCTATTTCGTGCAAAGTTGTGAAACACTCTGCCGATTAATGGCTCGAATACGCTTGAACTCATGATTTGCCGCGACCATTTGGTTCCTTGTACTCGCTGCATCTCCAACTGTCTTTCCTACTGGTTTGTGTATAACTCACGTGCTGTGAACTGATTAGTGCTTGATGTTCCACATGAGCGTAAATATTTCGTAAAATAACGGAATGAGTTATCAAATGGATAGCGTATGATTGTGACAGATACCGATAGTTTATAGCAGCAAGAGTAGAATGGGAAAGGTTTTCGAAATTGATAAGTTCTCTTTCAATGAGTTTACGTCGAAGGTAGCTTGTGGTACAAAGCAGTAAATTACCCCAGGTCTTGCTACCAAAGTAGAATTAGTCGTTCGAGTACAGCAGTTGTACTGTAGAAAACGCGACGAGCACGTGCATACCTCCAATACAGTGGCGATTTGCATACATAACGGCGCGCAGGTATATTTACGAATAGTGCAATTCACAGCCTCGTAAAGAATGCTTATTCGCACACCAGAATATCGTAAATCAAATTGTCTATGCTAAGACGGGCAACCGGACTACAATATTTCATACATGTGTTTAAGTAATACGACGCAGATACAGGGACAAGTAGAGGAGTCTGCAATTATAATTACGGGAGTTTTTTTCATTAAACGCATCTGAAAATGTGCGCGAGATAATTGAAGAATCCTATTTGCCGCCATGAATCTACACTTGTTTGAAAACGCTGTGCAAAAAATAACAGCAGCTTCATTGTGACTGGAAAAGCGGCTAAATTTGGAATCTATTTCTTGATTCTCTTAAAGAAAATTGCCCAAACATTTTACAATTGATCATTTTTGAATCCACGTTCTTGACATCAAACGGTTATTAAAAACCATGTAAGGACGAATTGAGGAAGAAGAATGCAACGGAACTGTGAAAACGAGGCTTATGCAAGTTCAGCTGCATAAAATTGTGGAAGCTGCAAAGAACGGTGACATCAATGATTCAGCTGCATCTTCAAACTTGAGGACAGGAATAATTGAATGGCGCCAACAAAAACGAAAACGTAGCCATGAAACAAAGCAAAATGTGCGATATTCTGTCCAGTGAAAAGATAATCTTAATCGTAACATTTCACTAGGCCCATATCATTTTTTCTGACGCACTGGTAGTCATGTTAATATTTCTTTCTAAGTCGTCCAACACAGTCACAGAAGAAAGACGAGACCGTACGCCACCCAAGTCATTTCTAAAAGTATCTAATAACCTCTTGTCATTGATCGTCATTATACGTCCACCTGAAAGCATGGTACAACTCCTTGCCCCTCTTAGCGGCATGATGTGCATGATAACAAGGAGACGGTATACTAACGCTTTTTGGGCATTTTTGGTAAGCACAACACAGAGAGTACGTGACAAACTGCAGAGTATCCGCCGTTAAGTTGTTCTCGTCGTACAACACCACGTAATGTGTTGGCTTGCTGGTGCCCTATAAAGGAATACATTTCAAATGTACTACAAACTGCAACAGAAACCTGTATTCCTTGATGGCTGCACAAAAAGAAATCGAACATCTTTGGGAGTACGGGACCGGAGTCGACCACCGTCCCAGGCGGAATATTTTGACCGATCGATTTCAACGACATGTCAACGGTTTCCAGGAAGAAACGGGTGTGATGACGCTTATGAACCACAACGACGGTCAGTTTCGGAGCGTAAGATTTAAAACGTCGAAACGCCTTTTTAATGGCAATCGTTTCTTCGTCCAAAACCTATGAAAAAACCCGTTCTACTGTAAATGAAGTCGAATTTAACGAATACCATTTTGTACTGCGACTCCGAAACTCCATCGCGATATACAATGACCGAATGAGGAAGACATTCATGGTTTTCCCTGTAATCTGCTAAAAAGTCGATGACGCTTTCAGTCATTTTTGAAGAGTTTATCTCCGTTTCTTGGGTCTTGAAGTCGGCACTTAAAACGATAGTCGCTTAACGACTTTCCACTGTTGGCGACCAGCTAAACTTGAGAATATAACTTAATAGTTTCATTTACAAACGGTTAAATGCATATTTATATGAAAAGTCAACTATGATCACCCTAACACCCCATCAGAGCAGTGAAATGAGACTATGGAACGACCGCAAACTAGAGCAAATTGATGAAGCGACCGATGTGTATATATCAGGTGGCGTTGCCATAAAGTCAAGATTTTAGAAATACAGTGCAGCTCCCTATCACAAGGTTAAAGGTTCGAGCTCAAGCAATATTCATTCCCATGTTTAGTCATCTACCATTCATGATATATTTGTGAACTGTAACTGAAATATGTGACAATTCTTCTCACTTCATACCTATTCGAAAAATAAGCTGTAAATATTCCCCTTTCTAAACCTGTCCTAGCATAACGCTTGCAGAAAAACATGTAGGATTGGCTAAATGCGCAATTAGTGAGATGTAAGAGTGTACGCCATGACAGAAATTTATTGTGTCGCTCTTCCCTGCACTTACATGACGAAGGCTCATTTAAACAAAAAGTTATTAGTAGGGCATTGATCTCTATTTTCATGTCCTCTGCCATGAACGCCTTACTTTTAAATGCAAATTCGACAGCCGCAATATGAAAAGCATAGTATGTATCATTACATAAAAAGATATCTGATCATATGGGGTTCATAAACATAATGCCAGTTTTCGATGCAACAGCTAAGAGAAAAAACATTTTCTCTTTTGATACAGGATTTAAAGACTTTCTAACACCGTTCCCTTGATTCCAGGAGCTTAGAGACCATCTAAGCAAGCTACGGCTCCATAATATTTGAGCGCCGGTATCGCACGGAAAAAAATCGCATTAATATGTATTTTCTTGTTTCTTCACCACTGACATGTCAGAGTTGAACTTACTTATCAACCTCGGAAGGAAGAAAGGAAACTGACCCTGATTGGAGTTCGAATCCAAGACCTCTTGACTCTGAGGCCGGCGCTCTAACGGATCTACCGCATAACGCTGGCCTGAAGCAACTGTCGAAATTTCTTGTTCAAGGGAATTCGTGGCGAAGACAAAGATTTCCCATCTTTTCAGAAACTAACTGAATGAATAACAGATATGCACAATTGTTAAAGGTTTAAGAAAATGCATGAATTTTAGAGTGTTGGAGGAAGCAGTCTGACGCCAAACAGGGAAGTCTGGAAGTCATATAAGGTCACTGGATATCGTTGAGTACTGAAACAATCTCATCTACTTACTATGTATCCTGAGCTTCAGTGAAACGTTTCAAAGGATCGGTTCTACCTTGAGAATCAAACTGTACCTGATAGACGCTGCAATGTAAACTCATTCATGTCAAAATGAAAATATTACATGAGCAACGGTGTGGCTGGGTATATTCAATTCCTTGCAAACGTGGGAAGCCTACATAGAAAATACGGAAAAGACTTTTATAAAAGAAAAACGCAACAGCCAAATGATCTGAGTAGGTGGGAAAATGAAGACAGCATGAAAGGTGGAGAGAGTTGGCGGCGGAAAGGAAGGCAACAGGTGAAAGATCCCGATGCGATCAAAGCTGATTGCGAATGGAATTCAGCGATGGTGCAGGGGGTCACAAAATTGACTGGCAATGAAAGAACGGAATGTGTAGGGACAGGTTGAAAAATCGAAAGTTCAAACAGGCGCTAGTAATCCGTACCAGCAGCTATATGAACCTCGACAAAAGTAATACTAACAGAGATTAACATATGCCGGCTGCCGACTGTTTGACCGCGCACGATGAAATAACAAGCTAAATGACAAAGAATCCTTTACCTTTAATTGTTGCCTTAAAAATGGATCTAGCCTCAATCGAAATGTTGATATTTGTACTAATGAAATTCTCATGCAGAGCAGAAGAGTACGGATATTACTATCTCTGTAAATGAAATTGCGAAAACTGTGAAAAGCTTGAAAAATGGAAAAGCTGCTGGAATTGACGAAATGCGTCCTGAGATGCTCAAGGCATTAGACGAACAAGGCACTTGTTGGCGTACACGTGTCTGTCAAACTGCGATGACTGCGGGAAAGACACCAGCGCACAGGAGAAATGGAGTTGTTGCAGACCTGTTCCAGGAGGAGACACAAGGAATGCTCCAATTATAGGGGCATTACGTTATTGAGCTTTCCAGGTAAAGTCTACGCAAAAGTGCTAGAAACGAGGTGCCGCGAAATAGTTGACGTCAAGATCCAAGAAGAGCAGTGTGGCTTCCGGCCAGGTCGAAGCACCTCTGACGATATATTTGTCCTGCGCCAGACTGTTGAGAAATCGTGGGATTTCGCCCATCCGGGGTACATACTTTTTGTTGACCTAAAAAAAGCCTATGACCGGATCCCACACAACAGTTTGTGGTCATGGTTTCGAGCATATTCAATAGATAGCGAGCTGCTAAGGGCCAACCTATCACTGTATTCTGATAGCAGGTGCTGCGCACAGCAACTGCCGTTAAGTCCAAACCGTTCAACATTGACACTGGTCTCCGCCAAGGCTGCGTCCAGTCTCCTCTCCTGCTGGTATTGTACATGGATAGAATAGTCAGGAGCAGCCAGGGCGATGGGTGTATCGGTGTAGGAGATGCGATTACGAGAAAATTGCTGTTTACAGACGACCTTGTTTTATTAGCATCTTCTGAAACTGATTGCCAGTGCTCCTTAGAAAGGTTCGCAGCCGAGTGCGACGTGACCGACATGCGTGTGAACGCATCTAAAACGAAATGCCTAGTGCTTTCTCGTTCTCATGAGATTAACGGAGAGGCAATGGAGCAGGTGGAGAAGTTCAAGTACCTCAGAATTGTATTTACTAGTGATGGAAAATTGGAGGAAAAGATCGACCGGCGAATTGGAGTAGCCTGTGGCGTTCTACATTTGCTAGTCCAAACTGCTGTGACTAAACCAGAACTGAGTCAGAAGAGTAAGTTCACAGTATTCAAGTCGATCTTTATCCCCATATTTACCTGCGGCCATGAGTCGTGGTCATGACTGAAAAACTTCAGTCATGCCAGTGAGATGGACTTTCTTAGACCAATCATTCGTCTTGCGCGTCTCGTAATGGC